TCTCTTTTCCCCCCCGGCCCAAAGGGAAGGGGCCCTGGGGCCCAGCGGGATCTCCAGCTAACCTCCGCTTGGTTAGCATGGCGTCCGGGCCCTCCTCGCCCCGTTGCCGCCTGTCTAGTCCTGTGCTGAGGCTGCCTGTGGTCTCCCCTCTCGCCCCCTCCCTCCCTCCCCCCTCCCCCCCCTCCCAGGGAGCCCAGATCCTGCTTGGCGCTGTGTGCATCGGCCTCGGGATGATCCTCGGCCTGGCCCCGCAACGCAAGTTCTTAGATTACTCCCACCGCGACTACAACTACAATTGGGCGTTCTACAACGGAGTCCCTTTCTGGATGGGCAGCCTGGTGAGCGGGGGTCTCAGCTGCCCTCCCCCTCCCCATGAATCCGCCAGGGAGGATGAGGGGCCCGGCGCCAAGATGGCAGGGCGGCCGAATGTCCGCAGGGCCCCGGTGCAGTCGAGGGGGCTGTACTACCACCTTGCTGACGTCCCCAGGAGTCGGTCCGCCACACGAGGGGTGCGTGTGTGTGTGTGTGTCCGGACCTTGCGTCCTGCCGGAGGCCCGGACAGACCTGTCTGCTTCCCTCCCTCTGCAGTTCATCCTCTCCGGCTCCTTCTCGGTGGTGGGCGCGCGACACGGCGGCTGCTGGGTAAGTGGGGAGGGTCCCGTTCCCCGAGCTGTCGTCAGGAGCCCGGTGCCCGTTCTCAGCCGTGCCCTGCCTCGCCTCCTAGGTCCGCCTGGCCACCTTCCTCAACTTGGGCAGCGTCGTGGCCGGCTTCGTGGCCCTCGTGCTGTGCTTGATGGACGTAGGGCCCCTGAACCACAAACCCTACTTCGTTGCGGGGCTCTGCAGGCACTCGTGGAGAGCGACCGACGGCCCTCCGTACGACAGCGAGGAGAACCGACAGCGGGCCATGCAGTGCTATGAGGCTCTGTGGGGACTTGTGGTAAGTGTGTGTTCGCCGGAGAGGGAGGCGGGCAGCGGCGCCTCTTAGAAGACGGCAATCCCAGGACAGGACCGTCGACGTACCGGCTTCCCTCGGTCTGTCTGTCTGTCCTGAACGTTGGGCTGAAGGGCGAGGAGGCCTCACCTGTGCTCAGGCGGCTTCAGGGGTTCAACCCCTGGGAGAAGGTACCCTCTAGTCCAGGGCTTTTCAACCAGTGGTATGGGTACCCCCTGTGGTCCATGGGCACCTGGCAGGTGGTACGCGACCATCCTAGAAAAGTGGTAGCGGGGGAGGGGAATGAGCTGAACCGGCGGCAGCACCGCACAAGCCTGAGCGAGAGACGGCTGGAGCTGCAGGGCTGTCAGGGCTCAGCGGAAGCGCCAGGATCGGTGCCGCTTTCCAGCCGATCGGCGCTTCTTTGGAGCTGTCAGGGTTCCGTGGAAGCGCCAGGATCAGCGCCAGGAGCTCGTCGCTGATCCTGGTGCTTCTGCTGAGCCCAGAAGAAGCGCCGATCAGCTGGAATGTTGCAGCCTCTCCAGGGTCTCGTGATTTACATTCAGATGCTTGGCAACCGATTCATATTTACGACGGTCACAGTCTCCCGGGGTCATGTGGAGTGACCAAAACCTGCTGCAACCACCCAGCAGACGGGGGGAATAAAAACCAAACAGCCTCCCACCCCACCCCCGCTGCCAATCCTCAACAGAAATGCTCACAATAATGAAAACCTCGGACCGGAGGAAGAGCGCCGCCGGGTGGGCAGGCAGGCGTCTGGCTCGGCTGTGGCTTGGGGGGCACTTTTTTCAGCGCCGTTGTAACTTCGAACCGTCACTAAGCGAACTGTTGTAAGTCGGGCACTACCTGTACTTTATCACTTTTTTCCTTTTTTTTTGGGTCATCAAGTTTTTGACCCCTTGCTAGGCGACTGGCGGTCCTCGGATGTTGCCGTATCTTAAAAGGGGTACGATGGGTGAAACGGTTGAAAAGCCCTGCGCTGGTCCTCGCCGACGGGCGTTCCCTCCTCCCACGCCCTTCTCCTGCCTCCCCGCCGAGTCCCAGACGCTGTGCAGTGCACAAAGCACAGGAACCGTTGCCGGTGGGCTTGGGTGGACTTGGGCGCCTGCCGGGTCCCCCTCTCCTGCTGATTCCAGTCCCCCCCCCTTTTTCCCAGCGCATCTGGAGCGGCACCAAGCTACTCCTGCTGATCCTGCACGCCGCCGCCCTGGCCACCGCCCTCTTCTGCTTCGTATACGGCCTGCGCTGCTCCTGGTGGGTACGTGCAGGGAACAGTGCAGATCTCCTGGCCCCAGTGGGCACGGGCTGGGTCAGCACTCTGGAGGGCAGCCCCCCACCCCAGGGATCCATACAGGGGTTGCCCATGCCGGGGGTCCCTGGCTGTTGTCACTCCACGTACTCCAGATTCACACGCCCTCGCTCAGCTTCACAACAACATCCAGTCTCTCCCCTCTGGAGTGAATGGCTGGGGGGGCGTCAGGGGGGGTCTTGTTGGGCCCCGAAGCCACAGCGAGGAGCTTTTTTCTTTTTCCTCGCAGGGGGGCGGGAAGGACTGCGTGGCCGAGGAGGACCCAGACGACGCTCCGGTGCCCAAAGAGCCGGGCGAAGAGCAGAGCCCTGCCTGAGGGGCACGGAGGGGAGGGAAGACCCCCCCTCCTCCCATAAACCGGAGAGGTTGATCCGTTGATCCCCGGGGACCGAGTGGCAGCTTGAGGCGACTGCCCAACGTGGATACTCCCCGGTTCCTCGTCGCTTCTCACACTCCTCCTACGTGCCCAGTTCATAAAAGTGAGCTTTCCTAAAGTTGGGCGTCTTTTTTGGTCGAGCGGATCGGCCCGTGTCAGGGCGCCTCTGTGGGGTGTGTGGAGGGGGGTGACTCGTCTGCCAGGGCGGAGGCTGCTTCTCCCGATGGCAGAAAGGAGCAGGGGGAGCCCCCCCGTGCCCGGACCCCCTTCTCCCCCAGTCGCCCGTCCACAGGAGGCCTCGCCCGACTCCCATCCCTGGCTCTGGATCCAGAGGCAGATGGGGCCGGGCGAGGCAGCCTGAGCAGGGGGCTGGGCTAGATGACCTCCGAGGTCCCTTCCCAACTCTGTCATTCTGTAAGGGTCTCCTGTTCGAGCAGGGGGCTGGACTAGATGACCTCCGAGGTCCCTTCCAACTCTGTCTTTCTGTAAGGATCTCTTGCTTGAGCAGGGGGCTGGACTGGATGACCTCTGAGGTCCCTTCCCAACTCTGTCAGTCTGTGATTCTGTAAGGGTCTCCTGCTTGAGCAGGGGGTTGGACTGGATGACCTCCGAAGTCCCTTCCAGCTCTGTCATTCTGTAAGGGTCTCCTGCTCAAGCAGGGGGTTGAACTAGATGACCTCCAGTGTCCCAACTGACTCTGTTATTCTGTTAAGCATCTCCTACTAGAGCAGGGGGCTGGACTAGATGACCTCCGAGGTACCTTCCAACTCTTTCTGTAAGGATCTCCTGCTTGAGCAGGGGGCTGGACTAGATGACCTCCGAGGTCCCTTCCAATTCTGTGATTCTATGATTCTGTAAGCATCTCCTGCTCGAACAGGGGGTTGGACTAGATGACCTCCAGGGTCCCCACTGACTCTGTTATTGTGATTCTGTTAAGGGTCTCCTACTAGAGCAGGGGGCTGGACTAGATGACCTCCGAGGTCCCTTCCAACTGTCTGTAAGGATCTCCTGCTTGAGCAGGGGGCTGGACTAGATGACCTCCGAGGTCCCTTCCAGCTATGTCAGTCTATGATTCTGTAAAAGTCTCCTGCTTGAGCAGGGGGTTGGACTAGATGACCTCCGAGGTCCCTTCCAATTCTGTGATTCTATGATGCTGTAAGGGTCTCCTGCTCAAGCAGTGGGTTGGACTAGATGACCTCCGAGGTCCCTTCCCAACTCTGTGATTCTGTAAGGGACTCTTGCTCGAGCATGGGGCTGGACTAAATGACCTCCGAGGTCCCTTCCAGCTCTGTCAGTGTGATTCTATAAAAGTCTCCTGCTTGAGCAGGGGGTCGGACTAGATGACCTCCAGGATCCCCACTGTTATTCTGTTAAGGGTCTCCTACTAGAGCAGGGGGTTGGACTAGATGACCTCCCAGGTCCCTTCCAGCTCTTTCATTCTATGATTCTGTAAGGGTCTCCTGCTCAAGCAGGGGGCTGGACTAGATCACCTTCGAGGTCCCTTCCAACCCTGTCATTCTGTGATTCTGTAAGGGTCTCCTGTCAAACGGGGTTGGGCTAGGTGACCTCCGAGCTCCCTTCCAACAACATCATCATCATCATCATCACCGATCACTATTATTATTATTATTTAATTATTATTTAATTATTATTAATTATTATTGATTATTAATGATTATTAATTATTATTAATTATTATCATCATCATCTCTGGGACCTCCCCCTGGCCGCTGCTCCCCTAGGGCTGGAGAGAACGGGGGGGGGGGGGGAGACGACGGGACATTTAGGGGAACAACATGACATCGGAGCAGAAACCAAGACAGCCGAAGCCCGGGGGTGTGTGTCTGTGTCTGTGTCTGTGTAAACCTGTGTGTGTATTTGTGTGTGGGGGGGGTTCCCCTCTATCCCAACCTTCTCCTGCCCCCCCCCCGAGGCTGCCACTAAGTGGAAACCCCCTCCCCGGACAAAACGTACGAGACGTCCATGCAGGAGCCCTCTGCTTTATTATCCGCCACTCCGTCCCTCTTTCCCGCGTGGCCCGGTCGATTAAAAGGTGGGGGGCAGCTTCCTGCTCCAGGAAAGCCCCCCCCAAGTAGCTTCGGGCCAGCTCCGTTGCTGACTCTCTTTGTCTCTTTGACCGGGGGGGGGGGGCGGGGGGAGACCGGCGAGGCTCAATGCCGCCGAGCCCCAGTTCTGCCCCGTCCCCCCAACTCCGACGAAGCTGCGGAGCGACGCCCTCCGAACCGCAGTCGTGGCCTTTGGGAAGCAGTCGATTGTCCTTCCTGGAGGGGTCGTGGTTCCCCCCCACTTCCGGCTGGTGCATAGAATTGAGGGGCGCGCGTAAGCGGGGGCACCGGCGCACCACAGACGGGCCGCACAGGCGGTCCGGAGGGGCTCCTCCCCGACCGACACGCAAAGGCACTGGGGTGAGAGTAGGGGGGGGCGGTGTCGTCAGCTCTCGGGACCCCCCTGCCAAGGTTTTCGGCCTTCGCCTCACACCGGCATGGTCATCTCGTTGTACTCGTCCACGCCTTCCCGCTCGTCCAGGATGGGCTCGGCCTCGGCGGCGTCCAGCTGCGGGCGAGAGAGGGACAGAGCCGCGCAGGCGGTGGGCTTGGGGCCCCTCCGGGACTGGGACCTGCCCCGCCACCTCTTCTCCCACCCCCGACACACTTACACACTTCATCTCCCGCTCGGTGAAGATGCGGCCGAGCAGGAACAACCGGAGGGGCACGGTCAGGATGAGGATGAAGGGGAAGGCCAGCGAGGCGACGGTCGACATGACGGCCCAGAGCACGGCCAGGCAGGCCAGCTGCAGGAGCGTGAAGAGGTGCATGCGCATCGTGCGCACCTGGGGGAGGAGGGAAAGGGGGAAAGTGCTGGGCGGGCTGCCGCGTCCGCCGGCGCGAAGGCCCTGCCCGCCCCTCCACTCCCCCAAGGCCATCCCCTGGGAAGCAACGAGGATGGATCGGGAGGCAGTAGGTAGGAAGGGGTAGGCAGCGACCTCACACACTCGTACACACACGACAGAAAATGGCACGCCCAACGAGGGCACTGGGTTCCTCGTGAGCAGCAGTGTCAAACTGCTGGCCCACACCTGTGACATCACACACACGTACACACACACACACACACACGACAAAACGGCACGCCCAACGAGGGCACTGGGTTCCTCATGAGCAGCGGCGTCAAACTGCCGGCCCACACCTGCGACATCACACACACGTACACACGCGACAGAAAACGGCATGCCCAACGAGGGCACTGGGTTCCTTGTGAGCAGCGGTGTCAAACTGCCGGCCCACGGACCGGTTGTGTCACGAGGCCCACCCCATCGCCAGCAGTGGGGAAAAAGTTCCGCGACGTCACGCGATGTCGCGAGTTTGACGTGTCTGTTTTTGAGGGTGTGCGAAAAGCACAAAGGGCCGAAAAAGACCCCTCGCAAACCCCGCGTGGTCCATGGACGGTCAGGGGAGGGAGACAGCGTCCCAGCAGAAAGAGTTGCTACTTAAAAGAGTCTTTTTGTGTGTGTGTGTGTGACCGTGAGCCCCTCTTTCTCTTTTTCTCTTTCCTCTCCTCTCTTTCTTTCCTCTCCTCTCTTTCTTTCCTCTCCTCCCTCTTTCCTCTCCTCCCTCTTTCCTCTCCCCCCTTTCTCTCTTTCTTTCCTCTCTCTTTATCTCCCTTTCTCTCCCTTTCTCTCTTTCTCTTTCCCTCTTTTTGTCTCTTTCCTCTCCCTCTCTTTCCTCTCCCCTTCTCTCATTCCTCTCTCTTTCTCTCCGTTTCTCTCTTTCTCTTTCCTCCCCCTCTCTTTCTCTTTCCTCTCCCTCTTTCCTCTCCCCCTTTCTCTCATTCTCTCCCTCTCTCTTTCCTCTCTCTCTCTCCCTCTCCCTCTCTTTCTCCCTCTTTCTTTCTCTTTCTCTCTTTCCTCTCTCTCTCTCTCTCCCTCTCTGATCTTCTGCTCACCTGGCAAGCTGGCTTCAAGCTGTTGTCCAACAAGCTCAGGGGTAGACAACCTCGGCTCTTTTATGACTGACGGACTTCAACTCCCAGAATTCCTGAGTCAGCATGGCTGGGCTAGCTAGCTCTCTCCTGCCCTTCCTGCTTCCTGCAGAGACGCAGCCAAGGCAGGAGCCCCGCCCAGTAAGCTTGTCGGCTCGTGGAACAGGGTGAGGACACTCTCTCTCTCTCTCTCTCTCTCACACACACACACATACACACACACACACACACACACGAGAGAGAGAGAGAGAGAGAGAGAGAAGTGCAAGTACCCCCCCCCTCTCTCTCTCTGCAATTGGCACAGGAAGGCCCAAAGAGCCACATGCGGCTCTGGAGCCGCAGGTTGCCGACCTGTGACCTGGCGCAAAGGACCCACATACCTCCCCCCCGACTCCAGCGCCCGGAGACCCTGACCTTCTTGACGTAGGGCATGTCCGGGTGGTGCTTGGGGGGCATGAGCAGCAGGTGAAGGCGCTCGTAGAACTGGATCCCGTTCAGCGAGGTGACGCCCATGTAGAGGAAGATGCCGAAGAGCACCGCCAGCGGAATCTTGCGCAGCAGGTCCCCAATCACGATGGACAAGCCTGGGGTGGGGTGGGGTGGGGGAGAGGAAGGACATGCACTCAGCCCTCCAGCCGCCCTCCGTCCGAATCCAGCAGCTGGAGAGTAGGAGGCCGTGCAGACAGCCGGTCACGCCGGTCAACCACCCGGCAACAAACGGGGCAGCAGAGCGACTCACCCACGAGGATAGCCACCAGCAGCCCGGTGACCCGTTGCTCCTTCACCTCCTGGATTTTGGGCTTGTCCCCCGGCGCCACGGCCTTGCTCATGACGGTGAGCGCGTTGGCGTGCGTGACGGAGCGCACCGTGGCGGCCGCCAGCCACGGCAGACCAAAGAGGGCGCAGAAGCCGCCCATGGCCACGATCAGCAGCAGGTCGAGGTGGAAGCCGGACCCCTTCTGCAACTTCCGCTCCTTCTTACTGATGATCAGCCTGGGGGCAGAAGGGGGGGGAGTGACGGTGGCGCCCCAAAGGCTGCGGGGGAGCGGAGGGGGGGGGAGAAGCAGGAAGAGGAGCCCCCAGCCCGCCAAAACTCACGTGGTGATCTGCGTCTCCATGAAGATGAGAATGAAAACCAGCACGGCCGGCAGCGCGCTGGCCACCATCATCCACACCGGGAAGCCCTCGCTATTGCCCAGAGGGTTGATCACCCAGCCTCGCTGGCTGGGAGACGTGACTGAGAAGCCGCTGGGCACCGACAGTTTCTGGAGAGGGAAAGGGGAGAAAAGAGCTGGGCGGGAAAGGCTGAGGAAAAGCGACTGGGGCATGCGGGCGTGTTGCTGCTCCTGCGGAGCTGGGCAAGGGACGGGCAAGGGGTACTAGTGGGCCGGGGGCTGCATGGCTGTACCCCCCTCGCAGGGGGCCCGAAGGGGGACCCCGGCGCCCCCTCCTACCTGCGTGTAAGTGTCCTGGATGCTGGAATCCAGCAGGACCATAATGAGGATGGCGATGGGCACGCCAAAGTCTCCGATCACCCGCCGGACCTGCCCGGAGAGACCTGCTCAGCCCGCGGGAAACTCCTCTCCCTCGAGTGTGCCCAGAGCGCCGGGAGCCTCTGAGCCCGCACAGAGTGTCCTGCCTCCTGCCCTGTTTGCCGGGAGGGTCTCTCCCCCCAGGCCCTTTCCCCTCCCTCCACCACTTCCGGGACCCCCTCCGGCAGAGGCCACGCACCCGGCCGGGGAAGAAACGGCTGTTCTTGAACTTGCGCAGGAAGAAGGCGATGAAAAAAGTGCCGGCCATCAGCACCAGCGAGAGGAGGGCCGTATTGGGCTGGCCGGTCATTTCCAAAGCGTTGCGGCCGAGCGTCCCGTTCTCTGCCTCCGGAAGGCTGCTCGTGTCGTTCCGGCAGCCGTGCAGCGGGTGCGCCTGGAAGATCTGCCCGGAAGGAGGACAGGGGCGGGGTTTCAGGCGTCACCCGGGGCAGAAAGGTCCGGGGCAGGGGTCGGCAACCTTTCTCTTAAACACCCAAAGAGCCGCTGGGACCCGTTTCCCAGAGAAAAGAAAACTCGGGGAGTCGCAAAACTTGCGCGCGCGAGAGAGAGACGGGGGTGAAAGAGTTTTGATTGAAGAGTTTAATTGAAAAGAAATGGAGGTTGCTGTGCATGAGTTCTCTCTCTCTCTCTCTCTTTCCCCTCTTTCCTCTCTCTTTCCTCTCCCTCTCCCTCTTTCCCTTCTTTCTTTCCTCTCTCTCCTCTCCCTCTTTCTCTTTCCTCTCCCTCTCTCTTTTCTCTTCCTCTCTTTCTTTCCTCTCTCCTTTCTTTTTCCTCTCCCTCTCCCTCTCTTTCTTTCCTCTCTCCTCTCCCTCTTTTTCTTTCTTCTCCCTTTCTCTTTCCTCTTTCTCCCTTTTTCTCTCGCTTTCCTCTCCCTCTCCCTCTCCCTCTCTCCCTTTCTCTTTCCTCTCTCCCCCTCTTTCCTCTCCCTCTCCCTTTCTTTCCTCTTTCTCTCTTTCCTCTCTCATCTCCCTCTTTCCTCTTCCTCTCTCTTTCCTCTCCCTCTCTTTCTCTCCTCTCTCTCCTCTCCCTCTTTCTCTTTCTTCTCCCTCTTTCCTTTCTCTCTTTCCTTTCTCTCTCTCCCTCTTTCTCTCGCTTTCCTCTCCCTTTCTCTTTCCTCTCTCCCCTTCTTTCCTCTCCCTCTCCCTTTCTCTTTCCTCTCTTTCTCTCTCTCTTTCTCTTGCTTTCCTCTCTCTTTCCTCTCCCCATCTCTCTTTCTCTCTCCCCCCTCTCTTTTTCTCTCTCTTTCTTTCCCTCTTTCTCTCTCTCTCTCTCTCTCCCTCCCTCTCTCCGATCTTCTGCTCACCTGGCAAGCTGGCTTCAGGCTGTTCTGCAACAAGCTGACACACAGTATTGGGCTGGCTCTCTCCTCCCCTTCCTGCTTCCTGCTGAGACGCAGCAAAGGGAGGAGCCCCGACCAATAAGCTTGTCAGCTCGTCTTTTTTACATAGAGAGAGAGAGAGAGAGAGAGGAGGCTGGGAGTCACAGAAGAAGGCTCAAAGAGCTGCATGCTGCTCCGGAGCCGTGGGTTGCCGGCCCGTGGTCCAGGGCAACATTGCGGAGCTCCCCAGCCTCTTTCCAGCCGGACCGCTTGATTTTCAGACCTTCCCCTCCCATCTCGCGCGTGGCACCCTCTCTTCCCTCCGGTCACCTTGATGAGCTTGAAGAAAGTCTCGTAGATGAAGATGAGGGAGATGAGGAAGGCGAAGATCTCCTGGGTGAAGCGGGAGACGAAGCGCACCAGGAAGCTGCCCTCGAAGGCCACGATGGCCAGCACGATCAGGACGAGCCAGAAGCCGATCCAGACGCGGCCCACCAGGTACTCCAGGCCGTGTGAGTTGCAGAACTGCCCGCGGGCAGACGGACAAAGTTCTCAGCCGCTCGAGGGCCAAAGGGGTCCTGCTCCCAAGGGGCCAAGAGGGGCCCCGGAGCCTCCCGCCTCCGGTTTAGGCGACGCGGCGGAGAGGCGACGGCCAAGAAGACGCCTCTCCGCGGGCAGACCGGGTAATCCGGGTGGCCCCCCAAACTCACCGTGAAAAAGGCTTCCTCAAAGACCAGGAGGGGCCCCGAGAAGCCGATGACCAGCAGTGGCTGAGCCCCCAGGAGGCAGAAGAGGATGCCCTGGATGGCCGTGGAGATGATCAGCTCCGACACCCCAATCAGCCCCTTGGTCTTCTCGCCTGGAGGAGAAGACGGTGGGGGGAGTCCAGGTTTATTGGGGGTCCCCGAGCCCCAGCTTCCTTGCGGCCTTCGAGAAAGTCCCAGGCCCACTGAAGCCAGCCCCCTCCTTTGCTCACCCAGCAGCCCCCCAAAAGTGATGGCGGGCGAGAGGGCCGCGAAGTAGATGAAGATGACGGCTGCCAGGCACTGGGGGTCCAGGGCGTCCCGGAAATCGCTGAGATACTTGGGGTAACGCCGACGGACGTCCCGGACCAGACCCCCAAAGAGTCGGCCGGTGCGTTGAAGCGGGTCGCCTTCCAACTCGTCTTCCTCCTCCACCTTCAGCTTCAGCAGGGCTGGGGGTGCAAACGGGAATCAGGGGAGGGGGCGGGTCTGCCAGAGCCCCACATACAAGACGGGCATGTATGTGTAGGGTGAGAAAATATGGGCCAATCAGCCGGAACAGACCTTATTGTGTTTTGTAGACAGACGAAACGGAGGAGCCACCCTCCTAAAATGGCGTACAAGCAACCATTAGCATTGCAGTCTCCCCAAACCATCATTTGTTCTTCTACTGTTGGGGAAACGCCCGTTCCGCTCGGGCGGAAAGAGCTCGTTTCCAACTCGACGCTGTGGGACCGCCCCAGCTACTGCAACGGTCCACAATTGGACCGTCGTGGTAAACCTTAACTCAAGGATCTGCTGATCTGCTTCTGCCGAGGAGGAATTACGGCATCTGTCACCTGCACCTCTATAACTCTCGGGTTCGGCCCGGCAACCGAACAGGGCGGAGGTACAGATTTCGACGGAGAGAGAGGACTGCGGGAAGAAACCATCGCGCAATCAGCCTTGCCTTCCGTTGAGGACTGGTGTAACCACACGAGTCAGAGAGAGGGCTGTGAAAATATCTTTAGACCCCCTCGCATCCTGGATGTAAAACTGTTTCAACTCCTCCTCTCAAGGCGACGCTATGGGGCCCTGCCCGCCAAAACCACCAGACGCAAAGACACTCTTTCCCTCCCTCGTTGTTGTTAATTGCGAAGTCGTGTCCGACCCATCGCGACCCACTGAAACGTCTGCAAGGGATCCCCCCCAGCTCAGAGAGACACCCCCCCCAGGACTCTCATTTCAACCCTGAGCTACATTCCTTCTCCTTTCCGGATTTCAGCTGATCCAGATCAGGCAGCCTTTTGCAATTGACTGATGGGGATGTTTGTCAATGTCCACCAACGGTGGAAGGCAGCTTGACGTGCAGCAGCCGATCTCCCCTTTCACACCCTCAAACCACCACGTCCGCCTGCCCCATGTCCTTGGGAAGGACTAGAGACAGGCCGTCCTCGACTTACGACAGTCCGTTTACCGACCGTTCAGTTACGATGGCACTGACAAAGTTACGACCATCGTAGCACACCTCCCCCACCCACCGGTCACGGGAACAAAATGCAGACGCTTGGCCACCAACTCGTATTTGCGGCAGTTGCGGCGTCCCGGGTTCACGTGGATCCCCTTTTGTGACCTTCTTGACGAGCAAAGCCGATGGGGGAGTCAGATTCACTTAGCGACGCTAGCAGCTACGAGAACTCACTTAACAAGGGCGGCGAGGAAGGCCGTAAAATCGGGCGAAACCCGCTGGACAACTGCCTCGGCTACATAAAAGGGCTTAAATGCGGTCGTAACTTGAGGATTATTATGGTTATTGTTATTATTGAAAGGTGTATATCGTCCAACTTTTAAAATATGTTTAAAAGCAGGGCGGAACCTCGGGGAGGGGCTACTGCGGTTCCCCGGCCTCGTGCTCGAAGCCAAAGCGAGGGTCCGCGGCAGGGCAGGGGGGTCCTGGCCTACCTTTCTCTTCCGGCGACTTGGGTTCCAGGGCGGCCCCGGCCAGCAGCCGCCGTTCCTGCTCCTCCCTCCGCCGCAGCATCTCCCGCTGGAAGTGGGCCACGCTCCGCAGCAGCTCGTCGCCCTGCACCTCCGAGGGGGGCAGCACCACGCTGCAGTCCAGGAACTCGTTGATGGCCTGGAGCAGGTCCTGCCGGTCGTCGGCCAGGTAGGCCGCCTCGTGGAATTGCTGGGGACCCCAAGCGCAAAGAGGGGGGGGGCGATGTTGGAGACCGAGGGTCCTTCCGGAAGGGCCCCGCCTCCCGCACCGGCGCAACGTCGCAGCGCAACGTCGCGGCTGGCAGCCTACCTTGTCGGACATGAGGGTGGAGATGGAGCGACCGATCTCGTGGTAGTCCATGTTGGCGCTGCTGGGGCCCAGCAGCACGAAGAGGAAGCGGACCGGCACCGGCACCTCCAGCACGGACTCCAGCTGGGCCGCCTCCTGCAGCCGCACGAAGGCCATGGTGGGCTGGTCCAGGAACTGCACGCAGCCTGCAGGGGGAGGACGAGGGGAGTCAGGCCTCTGTCCGGGCCTGACCCTCTCCGGGGATAGAGGGCCCGGTCCGAATGAGAGAATGACAGGGTTGGAAGGGACCTCGGAGGTCATCTAGTCCAACCCCCTGCTCAGGCAGAAGACCCTTACGGAATCCTAGAATAAGAGTTGGAAGGGAACTCGGAGGTCATCTAGCCCAACCCCCTGCTCAAGCAGGAGACCCTTATGGAATCCTAGAATAACAGTTGGAAGGGACCTCGGTCATCTAGCCCAACCCCCTGCTCAGGCAGGAGACCCTTACAGAATCACAGGATGACAGAGTTGGAAGGGACCTCAGAGGTCATCTAGTCCAACCCCCTGCTTGAGCAGGAGACCCTTACAGAATGATAGAATCACAGTTGGAAGGGACCTTGGAGGTCATCTAGCCCAACCCCCTGCTCGAGAAGGAGAGCCTTACGGAATCCTAGAATAAGAGTTGGAAGGGACCTCGGAGGTCATCTAGCCCAACCCTCTGCTCAGACAGGAGACCCTTACAGAATGAATCACAATTGGAAGAGACCTCGGAGGTCATCTAGCCCAACCCCTTGCTCAAGCAGGAGACCCTTACAGAATGATAGAATAACAGTTGGAAGGGACCTTGGAGGTCATCTAGTCTGACCCCCTGCTCTAGCAGGAGACCCTTACAGAATCATAGAATGACAATTGGGAAGGGACCTCGGAGGTCATCTAGCCCAACCCCCTGCTCGAGCAGGAAACCCTACACCATTTCAGGCAAATGGCTGCCCATTCTCTTCCTGGAAACCTCCAGTGGGGAATTTCTGGTGTCAAGCAGTTCCACTGGTTAATCGTCCTCACTGTCAGGAAGTTTCTCCTTAGTTCCAGGTGGCTTCACTCCTTGATGAGTTTCCCTCCATTGTTTCTCGTCCTGCCCTCTGGGGCTTTGGAGAATAAGTTGACCCCCCCTCCTCTTTCTAGGGGCAGCCCCCCAATATTTAGAATATGGCTATCATGTCCCCCCCCATTTCTTCTTTTCTCTACACCAGCCAAACCCAAGTCCCGCAGCCGTTCTTCGTGTGTTTTAGTCTCCAGGCCTTTAATCATCCTAGTTGCTCTTCTCTGCACTTTTTCTTTCAAAGTCTCAACCTCTTTTTTGCGACGTGGGGACCAAAACTGGACGCAGGTATTCCAGGCGTGGCCTTACTACGGCTTTACAAAGCGGTGCTAATAACCTCACCTGATTTGGCTTCTACGCCTCGGTTTATACGACCGAGGATCCCGTTAGCTTTTTCGGTGGCTGCCTTGTTTAAGGGATCGTCCACTCCTAAGACTCCGACGTCCCTCTCCCAGTTATGGTTATTGTTATCCCCCAGGCCGCCCCCCATCCCAAATTTCCTTACCCACAAGCACCACCGTGGCCTCGGCGTTGTCCGGGATCTTCTCCAGCAGCTTCAGTTCATGCTTCGACTTGGACCGGGTGATGGTGCCGGACAGAACAGGGGAGGCCACCTCCTTCTGCAGGGTCTAGGGGTGGTGGGTGGGGAGGATGGGATGCGGAATCCGTTGGTGGCTGGACGCCCCGCAAAGGCCCCTCCCTGACACCCCTCGACTCTCCTCCAGCCCCCCAAACCTAATTCCCTTCCAGTAGGGGAGCCCGTGTAGGGGATTGGGGGAGGGGTGTTGGTGGGAGGGGGCAAGGGGGGGTGTCTGTGAACTTCCCCCCCCTTGAAACGAAGCCGCGCGACAAGGAGGAACCGCGCGACCGTCTGCACGAGATCAGGGGAAACCTCATTCAGGTTGTAAGCTGAGCCCACCCACACGACCTGAAGTAAGCGGGGTTTGTTTGTTTTTTTGCCAGAAACTGCCCCCCCAAAAACCATGCCCAAAACCACCACGAGCTGCGGTCCCGTGACCGAGGAATGGCCCGAATGTGGTCATGGGGACCTGGGTGTGTGTGTGTGTGCATGTCCCTGACCATGTGTGGAGGCCGGGGGCGCCTGACGGGCCGCGAGCTCGGCGACTTCTGCGGGTCTCGTAAGTTCGAGCGGTTCCTAAAAACCGTCGGTCGTTAAGCGAGGACTAGCCGCTAAGCGAGGAATTGCCGTAATTTCACGGGACGTCTTCGGCTAGGATGGAAACCCTGGCCCGTTCCCACTTTCTCGTCCCCTGCGGGATTTCCCACATTCGGCGTGACTAGGAAACGAATAAACGCTCAACTGGATTCGTGGCCAATCTTTTCCTCCGGCGCGGACAGGCTTCCCTGCTGAAGCCACCCACGGGAGGGAGGGGCGAGGGGGGGACTCGAACCCACCACCCTGGACCCGATCCCCCTTATCGCAAGGTCCCTTCGGCGCTCTCTGAGCTGGGTGGTTCTCTGGCGGACGTTTCCCCGCCGAACCAGGTAACGCGATCAGCGCAGGAAGGGAAGGTACGGGTTGGTCCTTAACCTCCCTCCCATTACTCTAGCACCGATGACGTTCCCTAGTTGGGTCACGAGACGTCCGCAAGAAAACAACCCGGCTCAGAGAGCACCAAGGACCCCCCCCCCAGTGAACCCCCCCTCCCTTCGAACACCGATGACATTCCCTAGTCGGGTCGCGAGACGTCTGCGAGCAAACCACCCAACCACAAAGGGCACCAAGGAGCGCGTAAATCAACCCCGAGCCACAACTATTCTATCAGCACTTTCTCTCCTTCCTCCCTC